GAGATATTGTTTAAAGTAGAAACCATTACAAATATCTTCACGGCACTTTGTGAATGGGAGATGTTTGGGTTTGGACTTGTAGTGAATGCGATTCAACCACTTGAAAAGTACGGGATAACTACCATTGAGTCGTTGGATAAAATATTGCTCATCTTGATGAAACGAGAATATCTGTTTGTTGGGTTTGAAGAATGGTTTAAACTCTTTGGACTTGGGGAGAAACACCTTGCCTTTCTGGCGTATGGATACATCTACTCGAAAATCTTGTTTTCGCCGGAAAAGGTAGCTCCTGGGACTACCCAGTTTGAACCAATTGAAGATGTGCACGAGGACAGTTTTGAGGAACGAAGCGGCGACTCACCAAAGGACAGAAGTCGATCGTTTGATAATAGCAAACACGAGTTGAGCGAAAATGAAAAGGACTTTCTTCTGAAACGGTTGCAAAACAAACACCCCCTTTCGATATTTTTCATTAAAACTGGCATTATACTACGGAAGGACCAAGACAATGAGGCGATTGAGAATGTGTGGCCGTCGAGGTGTGAGAATGGGATTGCGGAGATGAGTTGGGGGTATTCAAGGTGCTTTGTATCCCCGCATGTTTTCAATTACATTGGGTCGTATTTGATAGTGAGAAGCTTAAAAATCCCATGGATTGGGGAAACCACGAATGTCTATGAAATAGAGGGGAACATGAACACGCTCATGCTCAAAATGGATTGGAGTCCGACGAGGCTGACAATGAAAGCAAGATATAGTGCTTCCACTGCGAAGTTGTGTTTGTGGGCGATTGGGATAATCACGGAGATCAAGGGTATGATACAAACGATAATCGGCGACTTACCCGTCATTCCCCCAATTGCAGAGGTTGTGCTCTGTCCTAAATGCCTTGAAGATAATCATGCGGAGGTTGCGGAACTCTCTGCGTCGTTTTTTGTTGACCAACTTTCATCGTTTGAAGATAGCATAGAGTTTATATCGAATGGGGAAGAAGAAACGGAAAGACATGTTGTTCCTGTATGGAGTGTTGCGATTGATTTGCAGTGCAAAAAACTACTTGATATGTTCAGTACCTATGCGATAGACAGTTCATTGCCGAAGATCAAGAAAAACACGTTTTCGGCATCCAATTATGCGATGTATGAAGCGATTTATGAGAACGAACCATTTTCAATGAAAATATTTAACTGCGATTCGAAGAATAACGGGAGAGACGTTGCTGGAGGACTTGGAGAGGTGATATTAATGACTATGAGAGAGTGTTACGTTGCAAACAGTTACGCCAACCAAAATTTGGTGTTAATCAAACACTTTGGGATCTCGAATTTGGCGCTCTTAGTCCAACCGTGTGAAACAACATTAAGTCTGTATGTCCACAACATGGAGAACGTCACTTTAGATTGGAAAACAATTATCGACTTTTTGACGAGCATTTGCAAAGGGATGAGCTACGCGCACAAGAATTTGATAATTCACAGGAACTTGTCGACGTCGACGATTGTAATTTGCACCGTGAATGGAGTGAAGACGGCAATGGTTGCTGATTTTGGGATGTCGATATTAAAGAACAAACAGACGCTGTTTCCATTTGAGGGGTGTGATCCGGCATATACAGCGCCAGAGGTGTTAGCTGAAAAGGAGTGCAAACAAGAGTCAGATGTGTATTCGTTTGGGATCATTATGTGGGAGTTGGCACATCGACAAAAACCATATGAGAAACTGAAACAACCGATAAAGAATGCGATCATTAATGGGGCGAGACCGACAAATAACGCGAAAGTCCCACTGCAAGAGTACAACAAAAACATGACGAAGTGTTGGAATCAACAACCGTCATGTAGACCGTCGTTTGATTCACTTACGAAGGAAATGGAGAAGATGGCGGTCGAACTGACGAAGAAGAAATAATTTTGTGTTTTATTTAGTTGTTTTCTATGTTTTTTGGTTGTTGAAATGGACATTATTGAAAACTTGAAACAGGGACATCTAGTGTGAAAAAAATAAGAAGAATACACAACAAATTAAGTATAATGCAACGGGTTGTTGTTTGATTGTGTTTTGTATCAAATAACAACACAACACGCACCTTTTTCAGTCGACTTCCTCCACTGAGAACTTTCTTTGAACTCGGGACTGAAGGGATCAGTTTTGTTTTTCGAGAATTGAAGTAAAGACTGAACGGCGACACTTACTTTGACTGCTGTTCGAGAACGCTCCAACATCTTGAGAAAAAGCTCCTTCTCATAAAGAAGCTTGTTAAGCTGTTGCTGTGACATGACTATTTGTTACAGTTCCATTTGATGGTCAAAAATTAATGGCTTAGAAACTGTAGAAGAACAAAACTCCTTTCGGATTTTTGAAGTGGGTAAACTAAAAACACCTCTTGCTCGATATATCCGAAAGAGTCGTCTTTTCAAAACTTGCAAAATAATAGTCCATTTGAACGTATTATATGGGATTTTACTAACGATAATTAAAAAGACGGCATATTAGCGCTTAAAGTTACTAAATCGTATTTGGGTAGTCCAGAAAAAATATAAAACTTTTTGTGTGTTATTTTAATGTTATTGATTGCTTATATACTAATTAAAAAACTATAAAATGATAATGTTGGTGGAAAAACTATTTGAAAAATGTTTTTGCAAGTTTTGGAAGGCATAAAAAAATAAAAAAAAGTATTTCGATTTTTTAATTCATTTATATTATACATAATAATAAAAATAATTATAATTATAATATACAAAAAACTATATTGTTATTGAAAAAATGGGAGAGAAAAGTTAAACTGTTCAAGCTATATTCTATAGTTATTTTATTAAAATAAACAAATAAACAGTTATTTCTATGTTTTTCTAAATTTGGTTGCATCCAAATTTGTCAAGTAGTTTTTTTACACGCAACTTAGCAAATAAATACGGGCAATTTCATTTTAGTATTTTTGTTATTTTTAACTTACCATATTATTTTATCGGCATTTGTTCGGTATGAAAACCCTAAATAACCGACAAACTTAACAGATCTATATACTGTTAAATTATAATTATAATTATATAATAATCACGTAATAATATAGCTTGATTTGTCTTTATGGGATTCATACCAACTATAACACTAATTATACAAAATAGAATCAATAAATATCGTGGTCCAAAAAAGTAATTCTTTGAGACGCTTGGACATGCCCTTTCTTACTCGCCTTGACGTAACACTCTTTGGCAAGCCAAGTGCTTGCCCTAACGCCATCCCCATTCATGTAGCATTCCCCCTGCATATACAACGCCTCCGGTATTTCGCTATCAGCCAGTTCCTTGTAAATTGCAAAGGCCTTAGTTTTATCGGCAGGAATACCCTCAGCCCCGTGTAAAAAGATCCACGCAATTTTCAGTGCAGCTTGATTTGATCCATATCGCCTTGCTTCTGCAAACAACTCAAGCGCTTTTTTGGGGTCAATCGCCTTTCCAATTCCACTCAAATAGCACATCCCAAGATAATACAAAGCTCGGTGATTGTGGAGCTCGGACGCCTTTGTGATGTAATCAAACGACAGTTGTTTGTCCTCACACACATTCTCGCCTTTGAAATACATAACTCCAAGTATATACAACGCGTCACTTTGCTTCTTCGAGGCAGCTGCCTTGAACAAATCAAATGCCTTGAGTGCACATTGTTTAAAGGAACCTTTTCCTTTGTAGTAACACAACCCAAGGTTGTACATTGCGTCAGCATTCCCCCCTTTCGAAGCTAACTCCAAATTTTGAATGGCTTTTGTCACATACTCCTCTCGCTTTGTCTCTTCAAACTGGTCCAGAAGCAACTTGGCATACTGGAGTTGCGCCTCTATATTACCGCCTTTAGCACTTTCTTCATAACTATTCAATGCATTTTGAAGGCTGCGAACCACGCCAACACCCTTCAAATAGCATAGAGCTAAGTTGACTTGTGCCTTAGAGTTCCCAAACTTGGTCCCAACTTCAAATAACCGAAATGCTAAATTCGCATTTTTCTTCACCCCATTACCGCTGAAGAAACACGACCCCAAGTTATTCATAGCATTCGAGTTCCTCAAACAAGCCGCTTTAACATATAAATTAACAGCCTGCGCCATGTCTCTCGCAACTCCTTCGCCTTTAAAGTAACAATTTGCAAGTAAGAGCTGGGCATTGACTAGATGGCTTTGTTTAAGGATTTTCTGAAGAATGTCAACGGCTCTTGCCTTGTTTGTGGCACACCCAAACCCGTTCAACAAACAATACGCCATATTATACTGCCCTTTGACATTACCAAGCTCAGCTGCCTTCTTAAAGCATTTGAATGCTTTGCCTTTGTCCAATACCTCTCCCCATCCCTTAAACAGAAACACCCCTTGATTGTTTTTAACATCAGACTTCATTTGTCTCTCATCAAGCGTTTTGGGTTCTGCTACATTATATAATATTCGGCTCAACGCGTCATACGTTTTAATGTGTTGCTGCATTGTGTTATGTGGAGTTAGATGGCATAAGACTTCACAGTAATTCGCTTTTTCCATGCCACTGTTGACCAGTCTCAAGAAGAGTCTGTTGGCTTCTTTGATGTTCTTCTTAACACCAAAGCCATGCAACATCGCTAAACCAGCGTAGAACCGACACTCTGGAAATATTTCACTCAGTCCAATGATCATTTTCACGGCGTTCTCCATTGAAACTGTTTTGGCGGTGCTTTGTGTTTGTTTGTGCACTTCTGGTGGTGTAGTGTTTGTTATTTCGATGACCGTGCCCATCAATTCATCAAAGGCTTTGTCTTCTTCTTTTGTTTTGTCGACAACAAGCACTTCCCCAGAGTCAATTGCAAGGAGTTGAGTCACTATATACATGATGGCTTCGGGTTGGTTCATCTCAGCTGCTTTGACGATGTGTTCCAACCCTTTGTCCGTGTTCTTATTGTTTATATAAAACTTGCCAATAACATATTCCTTGTCTCCTTTATTGGCAATACCAATCTTTTCGTCTTGGAGCATCTTCAATGCACCTTCGATGTCTGTTCCAAAATGAAGCATTAAGAGCGCTTTAATAAATTCATTGTCCACCCTCATGTCTTTAAACGACAAAACAACGTCGTGAATAGCTTTTTCTAAATCAAATTCTTGTCCAGTGGAGAAATAAACTTCCTTTTGCTCAAAGTCGATGGTCGTGGGTTCTTGTTGCTTCTCGCAAATTTCAAGGAGAGTCTCGAGCTTTGAAACGCATTGTGTGATATTGATTCTCATATTCTGGTCGAACGCACAACATGAATTCACCAATTGCCAGATACCTTCTGCAAACAATGGGTGTCTTGGAATGGAGTCTCCATGGGTGAGGACCTTCGAAATGCTTTCGTCGTACGGATCGATTTTTGTGAACGTGAAATACATCGTCATCCCAAAGGAGTAAATGTCACACGGGTACGAGTATTTTTCGTTGCGATTGACTTCTGGAGCGGTGAAATTGAGTGTCCCGATGTTTTGTGTGTATTGTCCAATTGAGTTGATCATTCGACTAATGCCAAAGTCCGTTAATTTGGCGTTGAGAGTATCAATATCCGTCCAATTGAATAACAAAATGTTTTGTGGCTTCACATCTCGATGAATGATATTCATCTCCACGTGTAAATACTTTAACGCCTTTGAAATGTCCAAACAGATTTTAACAAGAACGCTCTCTGAGATCTCCTTGTATTTTGACATCAAACACCCAAATGGCGCAAGTTCCATGACAATATTAATCGTCTCAATGCCTAAAGACGTGTCTTTGAACGAACAAAAGTACTTCACTATGTAATCGTTCTTCAAACACGCATACATCTCGTTCTCCTTTTGACCATCAAGGCCGGAAGCTACTACCCTTTTAACGGCAACAATCTCGCCATTTTTTCGAGCGCGATAAATTTGACCTTCTTTACCTTCACCGATTTTATCTAAAAGAGTGACCGTCTTTTTGTCGACCCAATTCGACACGGATGTGGTGTATCGAATCGAAATGATGTCGGATGAAGTCTCTTTGATTAAAGACTCTCGTGTTGCGTGTGGGGATAACGTGATTTGAATCTGCACAACAGCATCAACAGTAGAGTATACGGGCGTTATCTTTATGTCGGCAGTTTTCTCTCCTGGTTGCTGAAAGACCAACCGCCTGGAAGTACATACTTTGCAACAGCCTGTATTGTCACCGACTTGCGCAAAAGAAACACTCACATTTGAATAATCACATCGGACAACCAACGATATCACTTTTTCTTGATTCACCTCAATCCGATTTAAGTCAAGTGTTTTTTTGATGGAGGTCGAAAGCGGAATTGATAGTGGGTAAAGCTTGGGTCGTGGCGGTGACAGCATTATTGTTTTGTTCATTTTTAATAGTTCTTAATTGTTTTTTATCTAGTTTATTTTTATCCATTAGGTGTGTAATATTAAATAGTAATATACTAATAATGTTACTAATGTTTTTTAATTCTATTTTTAAATAGTATTTTCATATAAATTTTTTTCTTAAAAAATGTTGTAAATCAACTATAATTGTATTATATTCTTTAATTCAATAAAAAATAGTATTTTTTATTAAATACATAATAATAAAAAAAAACTAGAACAAAGTTCTTCGAATAAGTTTCCACTATTTTTATTTTTGTTATTTAATAATTTGGATAGTTTTTTAATTATTTAAAAATAAAATCAAAGAAAAAACTAAATATACATCAGCTATATTTAAACTAAACATAACTATTAATAATCACATCCCATAATATTCGGCAAAAAACAGAGTATATAATATTATTTTGGTTGATTCATAATTCCTAATAGTCCCGTTTATCTCAACAAATATTCCACTCAACTAGTTGACATTATCCATGTATCATTAGGATTCAATATGTCATCAAGAAAAATAACACCAAAAAAAAACAGTCTTGAACAAACAATACCAAACATGTCTGATGAGTGCCAGCAGCAGGTGCGGTATATTCCCCTTCAACAACAGAACGGTATGACAGAGCTCAGGGTAGCTCAACAGCCACAATCCAATCGAAAACAGTATTGGATACCAACAACGTTATTTTTCATGGGCTTTGTAATGCCCTTTTTGTGGCCTTTTGTCGTTGTGTTTTACATTTTTCGCAAAGACTACAAATACAAAGTATGGGGTTATCGTGCTCTTATAGCAATATTTTCCCTCATTTTTCTTCTCTTTCTTGGGGGGTTCATGATCATCTTTTTCCAATTCGAAATTTGTATTCATAAAAATAATTGATTTTTTAATTAAATTATTTAATTTGTTATTTATAAAATAATAGTTCTATTCTTCTATATTGTTATTATATAAAAATTATTAATTAGTATTTCAAATATTTTACTATAAAATACTTAATTTGTTAACTGTTTAAACTATAATTAATTATAAAAGAATTAATTATTCATATTAGATATCTTTCAATATGATTTTACTATAAAAACTATACTAAATCAAAGTGTTATAATACAAGGCATTAATTTATCAAATTATTATTTAATGATATATTAGTAATACAGTAAGAATCTATATCATTAATAAAAAAAATACTATGAACTCAAAACTTAATTAATGCGCAACAGTGGATTTTCCAAGGTCTTTCTTGAAGACCAACTTAACAACAATGATTTCTTTGCATGGGAAAGTGTTTGGTTCGACGCTTCTTACGAACATTTGAGCACCTCTCCCAGTAGTTTCATTGTAACTATCAGTGAAATCCTTGTGTATAATGCACTGTTCTTTGTCTTTCTTGATAGTGAAGAAGTTATGAACACCAACGACATTTTCGCTGTCGTCGTTGTCAAAGAATCGCAAAGTCTTCTTGCAGTCGTCGCAGACGTATCTGATTGGTTCGTGGTCATATGGGTTGACAAATGAAAAAGCGAACGACTTTCTATCATTTTCAACGTATTGTCCCTTCTTGATTTCGGGAAGAGCGGTGGATGTGTATGACCCGAAGATGTAAGGCCCCGAGTGAACAAACAGGATAATCGAACTGTTTCCTTCGACGCATTTGTTGAAGGTGTTAGCATCGAAATCGTCGGTCTCACTGTCGTACAAGACTTCAGCACACGCCTTTCCAGTCCACAATTTGAACAAGTCCCAATTCGACTCACTCCCACACAATCTGATTTTCAATTTCTTCTCTTTCTCTTCGGGTGTTGGTGATTTCATAAGTGGTGGTGATGCTACTCTTTCTTCTTCTTTTCTTTTTCTTTCGGCCTCTTCTTCTTCAGCCTTTTTCTTTTTACGAGCCGCTTCTTCAGCTTCCATCTCTTCGATCTTGGCACGTCTTCGGCGCTCAGCCTCTTGAGCTTCCATTTCCTCAACTTGTGCTCTTCTTTTTCGTTCAGCTTCCTCGGCTTCCATTTCCTCAATCTTAGCACGTCTGCGTCTTTCGGATTCTTCGGCTTCCATTCGCTCTATCTCAGCTTTGTGGATGCGCTCTTCCTCTTGTTTTTTTAACTCAGTAAGATCCTCGACAATTTCTGTTAACCATGGGTAATACCACCAATCACGTACATCGGATTTTGTAACAAAGTCGTGCTCACGAGTACCTATGACTTCTTCTTGTCTGAGGTCGGTGTGATTATTGACGTCTCTGACTACATAACTCCAAACCAAGTGTTGTGGAGGTGTGAATTTAAAGTCACCAGTCCAAAATCCACCTTCTTGTGAAGTAAGAGGCACCTCACCACCTTTGTCAAAGACTACATAAAGCGTCTCATTTGGTTTTGTGATGTAATGAATTTTAAAGCTGATGCTCATGAAATGAATTGAGAGTCTTTCCTGACTCCTCTTTTTATAATACCAACAACGTGTCGTGCGGTTTTATTGGACCGTTTTTGAGAACTCATTTGGCTGTCTTCTTATTCCTTACCATAATTAGTATTCATTCGATTTATTGTGTTATGTATGGACAAATCCAGTCTCTTTCAACCAAATGTTGTCTCTAAACATCCAAATCTCATTTCTACATTATATTAACTATATAAAGTAAACTTAAGAATTAATTAATCGATCAAAGGCCTCTTTTTATGTAAACTAATTTTAGTTTAATTTATTCCAATTATGGACAAGTTATTATTATCAAAATACCCGCTTTTCAGGTGTGTTATGCCATATAAAATGGTGTGAAAATAAAAAAAGAAGTATTGTGCAGATTGTTGGAAAAAAAGATCAAAACTGGTTGTTTTCCGGTTTTCAGTTCGTTTTTTCAAAGGAAGATTTCGAAAGAATTTATTTGAACAATAATTTATTTTTTAAATTTCGTTTTGAATTTTCTCTTTTTAAGATCAGGTCAAGTCAGCCTTTTGATCACAACTTTTGGTGTTTCTTTTTTAAAACTGTTGTGACGGAGCAATAAGTGGTATCCTTATTAACAAATACGCAAAGATAACATTTGAATAACATGCAAAGACTTGGAATACACAAATTATTCTTTTGTCAATTAAAAAATTTTCAAGTAAAAAAATGAAATATTCATTTTATTTTCCATAAATTCCCAGACTTTTCAAATAAGACATGGACTTTTTTGGTTACAGTTCATAATCAAAGTTGGCGCTTTGTTTATGTTTGTTTGACGAGTTTCAAGAGAACTGTTTAAACAAAAAATGAGTAATTCACGTCACACTCAATTAACACACATTTCACAAAGTATGTTTTTCAAGCATATGTACTCACAAATTTTGGGAACGGTAGCTTTCTTAGAAACTGATGAAACGTAAATGTCTTCTGTTTGAATTGTTCGGACTTCATTTCCTTCTCATCGATGAGTGCTATTTCGCACTTGGTTATATCTTCCGTTTCTACAACACCCCCTTCCTTTCTTTTGAATCTTTTGCTTCTATTAAAAAATATAAAAAAGTCATTCAGAACAAACTGATATCAAAATCATCTTCACCTCTCTGTTCAGTGGCTTCAGTTGGAATATTCTCGAAAAGAAGAATTTCTTTCCTTTAAGTTGTGGGATGATTCTTTCTTCGCACAATGATTCGCTCCCAATTACAGCAGCAACGGGGAGTATGCAGATCCCTCTCAAAAGTGCAATAATCAGTGTTTTTGTGATCTTTTTGTGTACCACAACATGGGTCACTTTTTCATCGAAAGTGTCACTGTATTCCCACCCCTTGTTTATGATCGCTATTTTCAACTTCGCCTTAATAGACTCTGCTATCCCACTAACTGCGACAACTCTTGTTGTGTCATGTGGATGCGGAACAACTTGACTAGGAATTTCTTCGACAATTTGTTCTTCGACGTCGCACACTTCGTTTTCATGTTTAATTGGGGAATAATCTTCTCGAAGACTTTTTGGCAATTTTGGCGGTTTAACCATTTCTTCGTTGTTATCTTCTTCGACAATTATGCTTTCTCCATTCATTTCGTGGTGTTCGCTTTTTTCAACTTTTTGTGAATTAATTTTACCGGAACTGTGTTGTTCGTCATCACACATTTCCATCTTCTCGACACTTGTTTTCTCTGTCTTTTCGGCTATTTCGAGTTTCGTTTGTTGTGTGAAATATGGTACGCGTTGCTCTTGATGAACACTTGTTTGGCACGATATGTCATTCACAAAAGGTTCGTCCCCCGCAGTCACCTCTTCCTTTCTTTTGATTTCAGAGAGCGACAATTCAGATTGGTTTAAAGTCTTTTCAGTGACTCGGAGTGCATACGTTATGTCCACAAAGTTTTTGTATAATCCTTCTATTTTCTATGTCATGAGTAATTAATAAGAACTTAAAAATGAACTACTACAGTGTACTCTAATTCTTATATTGAAAACAACAAACACTAATCGCCTCTAATAAAGTCTTTTCCTCAAGCATCTTCTCTGTGATCGTATTAATTGACTTCTGCAATTCTTTATTTTGGACTTCGAGCTTCTGTTTCTCCTCTACTCGTTGGTTGACATCATTCATCCAGGACTGTTTACTCGTCTCAAGTTCCTTCTTTAATTTTTCGTTCTGTGTTTTTAAGTCGGTGTTGTCTTGATTATTTGCTTCTTCAGTCTTTTGCAGAAGCTGTTGAAGAATCACTTTTAAATTCTCATTCTCGTCTGACAGCGCTTTGTACTTTTCTTTGTAATATTTCAGCTCCTCGGACGTGTTTTTGAAGAAGAGTGGATTACTCATTTATCTTTTTGAGTTTAATTTTGTTCAATAGAAAACCTCAATTTAATTACAGTTCTGTCAAAAAAGATAAGAAAAATACGAATTTGTTTCAATTGAATGCAATAGGAGGAATAAAGACGGTCTCAAGTCTCTTCATAGATTTCATCGACTGTGCGAGGTATACGTAATACTCCTTTCCAAGTTGTTCAATTTCATTTTTACCATACAAAATGCCAGAGACCATAACCGCTTCAATTTTTGGGAAGCTAGGGAGTTGGAATTTCTCGTTCTGATTCTCGACGGTCGAGCTTTTTTTAGTATTACCCAGGACGACGGAAATGAGTTGATTAGAATTGAGTACATCAGTCATGAAATTGGCGGCCATCACTCTACAGTACTTCGACTTAATCCTTTGGTGGAGATTCTTTGACTTGGTGTTGCAGACTGCTTTCATGCAACTGTCTTCGCTGAACAAATTCTCACTGAAGATGATGTTACCAGAAGGGTCATATATAATAGAAATTGGCACGTGCGACATACGCTTGCATTGTGTTTTGGTCGGTTTTCTGATGACAAAGCTGTACCCAAAGCTGCACAAAACATACATAAAGAATGCCATGATCTTCGTCTGAGTTTCCTCTGAACGGTACTTCTCAGCATTCTTCTCGTCCTTCGACTTAGGTATGTGGAGTGAGCCTTCGGGGTGTTGGGGAAGCATAATTTTTCTCTGTGGATTTTGGAATATCAAGTCGAAGTTCTCTTTTTTATACCAAAACCCCAAACACTTTTCTTGAGTCTTTACTATTTATAGGAAAGTTGAGGTCGTTTTATAGTTTTTATAACTTTCGTGGAAATAAGAACATTCGACCAAATCATATTATATTATACCCGTTTTTTATACAATTTTAAGTGGCATATTATATCAAAAAAAACAAATAATAAAGTCGTTTTTTTAGTTGCAATATAACTGTTTTTTGCTCTAAATTATCGGGATATCTATTGATTTTTAAATATCACTGTTTTGATATTGATGATTTTTGTTTTTTCTTCTAAATATTTTATATTTCTTTTTTTGTGAGCGAAACAAAGAACTTGATTTTGATTTATTAAAAATTATGTTAAAAACTCATTGATTGTGAATTAAATTGTTTTTTAAACGACTAATAAGTGTCGGGTATCGTCACAAATAGCATTTTATTAATTGTATAGTCAGTCTAACAACGTTATCTGCTTGGAAACGTTATCTGGTACTTTTTTGACCAAACCAAGTGGATAATTTCGGAAACCATTCTAAAAAACCCATCCCATTGTTCCAATTTTTTTCACATTTTTTTGTGTTTTTACCCAATTCCCATTTTTTGTACAAAAATACAACCATTTTATTTTGATCAGATAACGTTGTTAGACTGACTCTAGTTACTCTTAAAACAAAATAGTCTTTTTTAAATTTACTTAAAAAACTGCTCTTTTATTCACAGCAGCTGTAAAAACCCTTTTCAAATCCAAGGATATAAATTTGAGCAAATGAACCAAGTGCCACAGTGACAAGTAAATCTATTTTCCATTTTTTTTTCTGATACGTTTCCTTTGTCAATCCGTTATGGTATGCTTTTACACCTTCAGCTTCCGCACAAGCGAAACCTAGTCCTGCACAAGCAATAATTAATGAGGCAATTTCTGCCATAATACTGAAAAGCGAGTTTGCTGCTTTATATCTCAAGATTTGTGAACTTAACACGCAAAACATTGTTAAACTCATTTTATAATTTGATTGAATGAATTTAACTCGCTATATGTTATTACACCGAAGAGAAAGGACGGACATGGGGAAGAAGTTCGGAAAATGGGCCAACGGACTTCCTTGTGGTTTAGGGATGTCCCCCGCTATAAAGGACGTCTTCCAGTATTTAAAGACATTATTTCTATTTTTTTCGTGTCTACAGTGTTTTTAAAACTATTCAACGAGTTATATTTTTATTATTAATTTATTATCAAATACTATAATTATTAAAAATAAAAATTTATTTCGAACAAACGCTAAATTATAAAAAATTTTATTATAAATTAATGGTTTTAATAAAATAATTTGTAATTGAATTAGTTTTTCAAAGTGACTCAAAGATTGTGAGTCAAAATGTGAAATGAAAAAAAATGAATTATTTGTTTTGGCTTATTATCCCGAACTTCATCCCCATGTCTGTCTATTCTCTTTACTCCAATTAATTATTAATTATATAACATTTTATATTATATTATATTATATTATATTATATTATATTATATTATATTATATTATATTATATTATATTATATTATATTATATTATATTATATTATATTATATTATATTATATTATATTATATTATATTAATAAAAAAAATATAAAAAATAAATAAATGATGGGAATAATTCTAATTTAAAAGTAAAATATTAACAATTCCAGCAGTCTCATCATCTCCAAGTCTAGAACTGTCGTATTTAATACCCTTTGAAGCCAGTGGGAACTTTTTGATAAACGAAGAGAACTTAGTAACACTTTTCTTGTATTCTGTGATTTGTGGAATTCGGTTTAGTTGTCCTTTGTCTTCGTTCTTCTTTTTCATTTCAGTTTTAATAAAAAGAAGCTGTTTTTGGCATGAAGATGCACGTTCAGTATTGAGTATACTTTCATTCAAAAGCGACTTGTAGTTGTCCAAATTGAGAACAAGTTCATACAAACAGACCATATCTTTAATACAAAGTTCACACGCCTTTTGAAGGTAACTGTTTTCTGCTCCACTTTTAATCTTTTGCATTACGAAGTCATTTATTATTCCAAAAAGGTATAAAACATCCTTCTCAAAGTCTTCGCAAAACCGTGGTGTTCTAAATTGTTGTGGAATCACTTCTCCTCTGTTGATTGCAAAAGACCCATTCAAAAATTCATATTTTCTTCTTAGTGACTCCTCAGTCAATAGAATTTCATCATATATATGTTCCCAATAAACCAGTTTGGTTGACTGGACAAGAAACTCAGCATCCATTTTTTCATTTCCAAAAGACTCAATTTGTGAAAATATTGTTGACTCTTCCAATTGTGATAGAGTGTGCAACAAAATCAACGCCTTGAACCTTCTGAGGACATCTTTTTCTTTTAGAACCTTGACTATTTTTGAAGCAATAGTTCTAATTTCATTCTTCTTGGTGCATCTTTTGAAATACTCGAGACAGTCCTTTTCATGAAGTTCAGTGGTCGCAAAGTAGTACTCAATAGAGTAATGTAATTCAATAAAGTTCATTTGATGATTTAGTTAAAGAGAAACCCATTTATATACCCAATTTTTCGAATTATTTATCAAAGACCTTTTTCATAATTTGTCTCAATCAAACTGTGACTTTTCAACCCTTTTTAGCCAACTTTTCGCATTTTTTGAATTCCATGCGTGAATCAAAATAATTATTCTTCTGCCATACTTCTGTAAAAAATTTAAAATTTTTTCTTAATGTTAAATTATAAAAATTAAGAAAATATTAGGTAAAGCAATTGTATTTATAGAAAAATTGTTATTTTTTCGAAAAAAGTTGTGGATATCAACTACGTTCGAAAGTTCTTCTTGTTTCAAAGTCATACAATAAGAAAGAGAAAAAATAAATCATGTACAATTATCAACAAAAGGCCTTTTTTAGAGAACTTTTCTAAGACGTTTTTAATGGAGAACTTCAGAAGAATCTTCTGTTTTAGTTTGTTTTTGTTTTTTTTACCTTGTTGAAAAAAATGTTATAATCAATTAAATGATAATGCTGTTATATCAGTTTAATTATCTAAACAAAAAAAATGTCAAGTTTCGAATAAGAAATATAATGAAATACTTTTTTCACAAAATAATACAAATAACACGAAAGGTGGATGAAACAAAATATAATAAAAAACAGAGATAGTAAAAAAAGTCAACAGCGATTGAAAAACATTGTTATTCAATGTAAGTCAATATCACATTTTTGTTCAACAATTTAAATAAACAATAAGGAAAAAAGTTAACAACGATTAAAAATCGGTCAACCTCAAAGTCAAAAAGTACTCTGTGTAAAGGTCTTTGGGATGTTGAGTAAAAGAAATTTTTGTTTTATTTTTACAAAAAAGCAAGAAAAATGGATATATATTCTGATTTTAGTCAGTTGTTTATTATGATGATTTTTTTTATTATTTCTATTAATAATATTTCTATAAAAGTTAATAAACATTAAAAATGAAATATCCATCAATCAAATTACAAAATGAAACACATTGTGTTATAATTAAACATTACATAAGAAAGTAAGTGCCTTCCTAGCTCAGTCGGTAGAGCGTGCGGCTTTTAACCGTAAGGTCGGGGGTTCGAGCCCCCCGGGGGGCGTTTTTATTTTTAAGAAGTTTAAACAAAATACAATAAATATAATAAATTTGAATTAATTAGTTAGTTGGTAATTATTTCAAGAAGCATTTGTGGTCTAAGGGCAGAATTCCACCCTTCCAAGGTGGAGATCCGGGTTCGAGTCCCGGCAAATGCATTTTTTGTTTTTATGTTTTTAATTTTTTTTGTTTAAAAAACTACTAATTGCTATATTAATAAAAAATAATAACATTTTGATAAACCAAATTATTATTATTTTTTAGAATGTTTAATAATTATTATTTTATTATTTTAATTGATTAAGATACTAAATATTTTATAATTTATAATACTATAAAAGATAGTAAGTTTTTTATTTACAAAAATAGAAAATATTTAAACAATAAGAAGGTTTTTAAATAATTTTGAATTTTTTTTTCGTTATCTTTTTTTAAAAAAGACTAGGTTGTATTGATTAAGTTTATATGTTGACTTTGTGATTTTTCGTTAAAGAAACCACATGTGGATGCCATTAACATTACATGAAAAAACAAGATATAGATAATGTTTAATATGATCAATTATTCAACAAATTGACTTGAAAACACTTTAATTAAAATGATTTTTGTTGCTAATTTTTACAAATTCCAAAGATTGTGGTAATTAAAATATAACCACATTGAAGAGCCAAGTGTATACCAGAGATCACAAACGTTCCGTCTTTAAATAACACACTGTTTCTACCAAGCTATTGGATTGTAACATACCGAGTTTTTATAGTAAGATGATAATCTTTGCCTCGCACAAACTTTTAATAAAATATAATTAATGATTAAATTTTATAGAACTCAATCCTTCAATTATCATTGTTGTATTTTTTCATAAATGTAATAATAGGTGTTGTATAAAAGAATTACACAAACATAAAACATACAACAGTCATAATTATTGACAAATACATAATTAGTGTACCATGGAATGCATGAAGAAGTTGAGTCGTGTTCTGAATGTCCCAAGGCTCTGTGTGATCAATGCCCTAAAGTCGACTTCTGCTTCTTCATCCGACTTGTCAAGCATGAATGCGTCTTTGAGATATTGGACATCCTCCACATGTTTGAGTTGTGGTATTCCAGAACACAACATCATCATAAACGAGTAAATGAATGTCTTTGCGTTTGTTCTCAGAATCAAAAACCCTTTCGTGCAGATATCTTCAAAGACTTTGTAATTTTCCATACTGACGTTTCCCATTGTGATGACGTACAAAAAGTCCACAGTCAACACAAACGGCGCACTCTCCTTTTTATAAAATCCAAGTTTAATGACGTTTCCCAAGAAATGGCCAAAATCGATGTGGAACAGATGTCCATCCTTTGCTATTAAAATGTTGTCGTTGTGTCGATCCCCCACTCCAATGACATACGTTGCCACACAATACCCCGCACATGAATACGTGAAGTTTTCAATAGCCTCTTTTAATTCACTCTCATTCGGGTTCTTAGCCTTAAGCCACTCATATATACATGCAGAGTCAAATACCCCAGAAATGCCTCTCCCTTTAGTCTGAATCGCGTTCACCGTCTCGCAGTTGGGCACAAATTGAATGATTCCAGAGTTCGTAGATGTCGCAAGAACGTTGTAAATGGTCATTCTAAAATCAAGACCTTCTTTCTTCCACATCCCATCCATTAACTTGAACATTTGAAGAGTCAACATGTCTTGCATTAAATTATCACCAACTTTGAATATGAATCTTGTGAGTTGTTGTGTGAATATAGCAGACGACTGAAAGACAAGGAGAATGGGGTGTGCATTACTATCAAAGAGTTTGCATTTATCCACTACAACACAACTCACAGTCTCTCGTGATGTGAAAGGAAGTGTCAGTTGGTTTTGTTGGAACGCACAATTCACAACACCCAAATTCTTTGGAAGATTCATCTTTGTCTCCTCTTCAGTCCACTTCTTCGCGTTGATTGCAGTCTCTTCCAAATTTTTAATGAAATTCTCTTGTGTTTTCAGTTCGGGGAGTTGGGACCCACACATTGTGTTATAGATCTCAAGAAGCAACTTGGACCTCAGTGATATTTTAGTTTTCTCATTCTCACCAACAATAAGCCAATAGAACAGCTGTCCAATATCGCCGCGTGACTTTAAAGCTCTTTTCAGAAGGAACAAAGCAAGAGCAGAACATGTGTATGATTCAAATTTCAAGACTTGAATGAACTGTGGCAAGTACCCTAATATAACTTTGTCGTTTGCGTTGTGCAAGAGTCGAACTGCATATTCTCGAGCCGGCTTAAAACTGTTTCGCACATCCAACAACCCGATCACCTGTATCGGACCAATTCCAGGCCATATTTTAATCAGATCAGCCATCTCCTCTCTTGCTCTAAATTCATTCCAAGGCACTGCTCTTAGTAACAAGTCGAGTGAGTCTGGAAATTGTATCAGAATGTTATATCTGTTCTGCCATATTTCATTTCTCTGGGTGTCTGTAAGTGGTTGGAACGGGTCGTTATGTACAGCAAGTTGTTCTACTTCGGCAGAAATTGGTCTTAAATTCTTCGGGACTTTCGCGTATTTAGCTTGGTAGTCGTCGTACACAATTCGAATTTCTGGATCTGGAAATTTGAGGGTTAACATTGGTGCGTATGGCGATGGGTTTTGGAGCGGCGACGACACCGCGTCGGACTCCTCGTCAGGCCACATCCTTAAATTGACATACCCGGAGACTAAGAAATTTTGGAAGTCAAACAAAGGAAGATTCGCAAACCCAACAACGACCTGTTTATTATGTCGAGAAGCATACAATGTGACACCAAGTCTGACTTCCAATGGTAGCATTGAGTAAGTGAAGTCAGTCATCACACGAGCGTCAAAGGCTGTCTCTGAAGTTTCCGACGTTGAGTATTCCTTTCCAAAGAGTATATCTGTTCCCATATAAAAGACACAAGAAACTCTCAACTTGATTTTGTGTTTCTCAAAATTGTTGCCGTTTTCATTGAACGTTTTTACACAGTTTGTTATTTCGTCTGCCGAATAGAATTTCCTGTAAATGATTTCTGGATTGAAATTGAGAAGTTCGTAGACGGTGAATGAGAGAACCTCCTCACAGAATTTACTTGCCTTACATTTCCTTGTTAATGTTGAAAGTAAATTTTGATGTTTCATCTGGAACTTTGGAAGTGTTTCATTCAATTTGGCGTTTTCAATTAACTCCAAATTCAGCACTTTCTCTCTTCGAGACAAGTCATTCACATAACAGTATTGTCTTAACTGATCACCGTCTTTAAAGTACTGTCTTGTCCCTGCTATAGTCAACGTGTACTTATCTAGATTGACTTGCATGCGCGACGCTTTTGCGGTGACCCCCTTTTCAATCATTTTCTTCACATTAAAACAAGTGATATCAGTCTGGCATTTAAATGTGGTTTTGTATTGTAAATATGACGAGTTGACTGTAATTTGCACAGGGTTTTGCAGAGCTCCATTGATGACTTCTGCGTGAATGTAGTTGTATGGTAACACGTCATCTTTCATCTGTTGCACAGCAACTTCCGCCTCTTTCAAAAAGTTTCTGATCTCGACAGTGTCTTCTACGTTCATCAAATCTTTTGTTGCAAGTAATGGCTTTGTTGCAGAATTGATGGTCAAATACTTTTTCTCAAACACACTGCCAACACCCGCACTAATCCCAGTCTTCCCGCTTGGAAACCCATTTGGCATTAACGTGAAAACTGCCTTTTCTCTTTCAGTAAGTAACAAAGTGGTGTGTTTTTCTTCACCAAAATGCGAAGATTTTGATGGCTTCATGGTGTGTGATACCATTTTCATGGGCTTTTTCCTCTTTGGTTTGTCTTCTTTGGGTTCACTTTCTTTGACAGATGTTGTCGATTTTGTGACCTTTTTCACGTTCATCATATGTTGCAATTGACATGGAATGTCCTTTGATAAATTCAAGTCTTTTGCTCGTGTTAACACCTCCTCTTCTGTCGTGACATTATTTTTTTGAATTTTAAGTGTTTTAAATTTATAAGACGTTTGATTCAATGTGGAAAGGGGTGGCTTTGGTAATGGCCGTTTGACTGTTTTAGTTAAATCCATAGGAAGTTCATCTCCTTCTTTGTCTTTTGTTGTTGAGGGTTGTGACGAACTTAGTATAGTTTGTACACGACGTGTTGGGTATGTTGGAGGAGGAGGGGGTGGTGGTCGTCTTGCTGAATATGACAATGCGGCTTGACGGTAGCCTACCCTTTCACTCATTTCACTATTTTTTAAGTTTCTTTGATTCATAACTTCAGTTTATCGCTCTTTTGGAGTTCATCTCTGCAATTGGATTCTTATTTTAATATTTTATCGAATGGTTTTTATCATAATGATATTATTATAAATATAGTAAAATACCCATCGTTTTTTGAACTAAAACCATATCAAAATGATATTGAAATTAACAGAAGAATAACAATTAAAGATGAATTAAATGTATTTATGTCGAAACTAAATATAGTGAATTATTAGTACAAAATAATCAAATGATATTATTTTTTTTTTTAATTTTATTTTATTTCATTTCATTTCATAAATAAATTATATTATTTTATATTATAATAAAAAAGATTATTTATTGTTATTATATTTATAATAATAACAATTCAATCAATGTTTGAATTTAAAAAATATACAATATAATAAAAATATAATATATAATAACAAACATTACAAAGAATGAATCTTCTCAATTGTCATTATTTTTCAAAACAATAATAAATAATAAATAAATTATAATGTTACTATATAGATGATAAAGTGCTTTATGAGTTTTTTTTAGAATTGAAGGATCAAATAATATATATGAAACACACATCTCCATTAACTGTTTCAGACATGATTCACGTTTCACAGTATTTTAAGACCGAAAAAGACTTTACGTCAATTGTACAAATTTCGAAACGGTACAACAACTTTCTCGAACTGTTCAAAGAAAACCCAATTCGTAAAATAACACTTTTTCCAAATATCGAGACCCAAAACATATTTTCGAAAACCGACGAAAAGGACTTGACAATTTCAAAGCACAGAATTTTGTATTCAGTGACTTACGAGGATTATGCAATTATGTCAACTCAAGACGAAGAATTCATGTGTGTCACCTTGTCATCAGTTCGTCCAACAAATGTTGTGTATAATGGTGTGACAAAATTACTCAGAAGTTGCTGTAAATGCCTTCCATTAAGTGAAATAACACTACCAAACACTGTTCGCTTTTTGGGAGAAAAGTGTTTTGCGAGAAGCACTGGTCTTAAGAGTATAACACTCTCGACAAACTTGAAGTACATTTCACCACGAGCATTTTTGAGTTGTCTTTCACTTTCAAAAATCGACCTGCCAGACTCTGTGAAGTACATAGGAGACAACACGTTCTGTTGGTGTCAAAGTCTAAAAGAAGTCAAACTTCCAACTCACATTCTATACATTGGGGAACACGTGTTTACTGGGTGCACTGCGCTGACAAAAATCGACCAAAACTATTCCATTTTTAAACACACTGTCACTTTCTCTTTCGCTAAATTGTTAAACACAAATGGAACTCAAACTCCAAACCTCATTTACACATGCGACGACAGAAAAGCAAACATCTTGTTAGAGGCCTTTGAGGCTCAGACGTTATCTATAGATCGAAACGCGTATTGGGAATGTAATAATGTGACATCCGTGAAACTTCCACCGACTTTGGTGTCATTGCCAAATGCATGTTTTGCGAATTGTAGGGGACTGATGGGTGTCACTCTCCCAACAACGTTAGAGTTTCTTGTGAACGAGTGTTTCATGAATTGTATTTCTTTAAAAACTGTACATTTTCCAAGCACAATGACTGGGTTTAGAGATAAGTGTTTCTTTGGATGCGTTTCTTTGAAGACGTTATCATTGCCTCCAAAATTGTCGCTTATTGGCGTTCAGTGTTTTAGAAGGTGTTCAAGACTGAATTTGCTTGAGTTGAATTCACTCATTTCAACAATTCCACAAAGCTGTTTTTCAGAGTGTTTTGGGTTTGACGAATTTGAAATACCAAATACAGTGACTTCTCTGTGTAGTTCGTGCTTTGAGAAATGCACTTCTCTCGACGAACTTAACATTCCAGACACTTGTTCGGTCTTACATGACAAAATATTGTCAGAGTGTTCGAACCTTGAAGCCGTCAGAATGCCACAAAATGTTGTTCTGGTTGACGACGAGACGTTTTCTGGATGTTCGTTTCTTTCTGCAATTGTTCTTCCAAAAATGTGTGGCTCGTTTGGTAAAAGGTGTTTCCAAATGTGTTCCACGTTGACTTCACTGACAATATCGTCAAATTGTACATCACTTGGCAATTCATGTTTTTCAAAATGTTATTCGTTAGAATTTGTTGTGTTACCAAGTCTTTTATTGGAGATTGGAAACTACTGTTTTGAAGAATGTTCCAAATTAAAAGACATTGCAATTCCGTGTGGCGTGAGTTTAATTGGGTCATATGCATTTTCAAAGTGTTGCAAACTTGAGAAAATAGAAATTCCAACAAGTGTAACATCCCTTTCGAAAAACACGTTCGAGTTTTGCGACAAACTTCAAATGGTTGAGATACCAGAAAGTGTATTACAAATATCACAAAATGCGTTTAAAAATTGCACTTCGTTGTCTACCGTTCGAATTCCACACAATTTGAGTTACTTGGGTGGTGGTGCATTCTTATCGTGTTGTTCTTTAAAAGGCATTACCATCCCTTTAACGATCACTTCCCTTCAAAACTCGACGTTTGAAAATTGCAGTGCACTCTCAGAAATCAATTTGAGCCATATTGTTTCTCTTGGCAGTTCATGTTTTTCGAATTGTTCGATATTACAATCCGTCCAAATAACAAGTTCGATGGAGAGATGGGAAAGTGCGACATTCATGAACTGTTCTTCACTCACTGCAATCACTTTAGTTTCATTTCTTTCAATTCCAGACAAGACATTTTTCAACTGCACTTCTCTCTCGACATTGTCAATACCACACTCGGTGACTTCGTTAGGAGAAGAATCGTTTTATGGGTGTATATCTCTTAAACACATATCACTTCCTAAAACATTATTTGAAATTGGACAAAAGTGCTTCTACGGCTGCTTCAACTTGGTTTCGATTAACATCCCATCGACGTGTACGTTATTTGGCGATTCGTGTTTTTGTCGATGCTCCACCAAACTTCAAAGTAAAGTGATGAAAGAAAGGGCTGGCGTGAATACCTGCTCTGTCATGTAATTCTATTAATGTTATTATTGCTTTTTACTGGTTGGTTATTCGTTGGAAAAAACAAAGAAAAGCCAAAAAACTCGATTAGAGTAAAGCAAGGAGCATGTCTGGAATCTCCGAGTCAGTTGTTCTGATGCAAATTTCAACGGTGACTCCCTTGTCGTCGCAAAGCATCCTCAGTCGAACTAATGTTGGCGTTGGTTGTGCCAAAAGAATATTTCCAGCTAACAGCATCATGTGCTTTTTAACAGCCTTTTTAGCGTTATCAGTCCCATTGATAACAGCAAGTCCAAAGAACCCTTTCAACTTGTCAACAGCGCTTTGAAGTGTTTTGAATGAAGGGAATTTGAATATTTGTGTTTTGTTGACTTCACCCGCAAGAGACTCGAACTGAGCGTTCCAGTCCTCGACCTCCAGTGGTGCGACGAAATCTCCGATACTCAATTTGATTGTGTCAATGATGTACTCGTCCTCTTCCCCTTCGTCCTCTTCTTTTCCTTTTAAAGTGTATGTCATCTTATTTGTGAAAACTCCATTGAACTGCTTTGGTCTATTCATCACGACTTGAATCGTCGCAGACTTTTCCGCCTCTATTTTTTCAACTGAATTGTTCTCGGAAATGACGTAATCGCCTTGCTCGACGGAGATATTCATCTTCACGTTGAGTAAGTCGTAATCTGGAAGTGTGTTGTTAATGGTGTATATGAACACAACCTTTTCTTTGAAGATCATCTTCTTGCACGAGATCTCGTACTCGCTTCCAATAGTCGTCAAAACAATTTCACTGCTGTTCAACAAGTCGCCGCATCCTTCAACTTTCACTTCCTTCTTCACTTCTGCGACCGGCGCTATCTCTTCAACAACTACGGCTTGTTTGGCGGCTTCTTCGATATCGAAACATTGCTCACAGTCGCCTTTTAAATACTCTTCCACCATGTTACCAAGCTTCTCGTAATCGGTTTGGTTATCAATCACCTTCGTTTCAATAACTGGAGTATCCAAATAAATTCCATAGAAACACGCTCTGTCGCGAACTTCTTGGTCATCGTCATATGCACATTTCTTCAAGATCTCTATAACATTTTTCTTTAACTCTGGGATCTCTGCAAATTTGGATAGCGTAGTAATCGCAGCTGCTCTGATACTTGGATTCTCAAGTAAAAGTCTGTTGTATATTGAGCGGATGTACTTCATTGGCTTCTTCGAGTGTGGTCCCTCTTCTCCAATAAAGGCAAAGACTTTCATAATGATTTCTGTGTACTCGCAGTCCTCAATATAATCCGATAACGTCCCCAACGCGCTCTCTCGAACTTTTGGCTGAATAGTGCAAACTTTTCGAATGGTATTGACAACAGCCATTTGGAACTTGACTCCTTTAATCTGCAACGCGTTTGAGAGGAAAGTTAATAATGTGGTGTTTTTTGTTGGATATCTCTCGGCCAATTTCTCGACGGTGTTGATCACTTTGACTCTGAAAGACTCTGGTAAATCGCCAAGGAACTTTGTGACCTTATTGAGTAACCCATCAATAGAAGCTTCATTACAGATATTCAAAGAGGTTGCAATTGCTAAGGTCAAAATAGCTCTGTTGCTCTCTTTCAATAACGAGTCGACATCAACTCTGACGGTCGAAACAAGTTCGTTGTACTTGTGACTCATCTCGTTCACTGTTCTGATCGCGACGAATCGCAAAAGAGCCTTGTTGCTCTGTAAATAGATCTGCACGGAATTCATCAATTGAGCAGACAACGATTGGGGTGCAGAGTCCAATTCAAGTTGTGCAGCCAATTTAATAGCTTCTATTGTCACAACGTCGTTATTTGGCTTCAAGCAAGTCTGAATGTACTCGACTAAAGGTAACACAGTCTTTGAATATGCTCTCTCACCAAGTAATATGTCTCGACAGATCTTCAGTAACTCAACATGTGCATATGGCGACCTCAATGGCTTCTGTTGTCCATATGTAAGAACCAATCTGATCAATGAAATTCTATCACTTCTCTTCAAGATATGGAGTAATCGAATAGCTTGGTATTGCACTATGTGATTACTTGAAGACAACGCAGTTGTGATCTCTGGCATCCATTTGGCTACTACTTCGGGGTGGTTATACGCCAATTTGCAAGCAGTGCACAACGCATTTGCAGCAACGTTTGGAGTCTTATCGACAATGCCTTGCTTGTAGTGTCTCTCAAGAGAACTAATTGTCTTCTCAGTCATGATCATACCAAGTGTCCGTAACGCGGACGATCTCTGGAAATCATATACACTTGTCGCATCCTTGCCTAACGAGTTCATCACAACAAAGACATCGCACGCGTATGGTATGATACATCTCAGAGTCGTGAACAACAGTTGTCTTAAAGGGACGTTTGGTGAGAAAAAGAGCTTTGTGGTCGCAAAGAACAGTTCTGTTGACTCTTCTTGTGTGAACGTGTCTCCTCTATTTAACACCGCAATCAGTTTCGTCAAGAAAAGTCTGCACTCCACTAAATTGATCTTCGGCTCCGCACAGACACTTCGTTGTTGGAATAACACTCCTTTGTCTGGAAAGATCGTCTGCTCAAGCACCACAATACTATCCTCTTCGTCATATACCTTCATGCCTTTTATCCTTTTCCAAGTTCTTAACAGTTCTTACAATAACAAATTCCTGTTTTGTTTTGTCTCTTTGTTCTTAAAATGTTATATATAACATTCTATCCCATGTTGTTAAAGAAAAAAAAACATTTTTTTGTTATTCCAACAAACTATATGTTTTTAGTAAATTTTATTAATAAGAAATGATTTTAAAGAGCACGAAACAAAAAAAAGAAACCTCAAGGTGCGATCTTGAAATTCAAGAGTGGTGATGTGTGATATTGGAAAGTGTAATCACGGACCAAACCAAAGATGTCTGAGGTGTATGAACCGCGACTATAAAAAACAAGAGGAGGCAAAACAAGCAGCTAAAGCGGCACAACAGAGCGGAGAAACTGCGCCACAAGGTCGCACATTAAAGCCAGTTGTATATACGTTAAGTGGGAAACCTGTTGAGCAGAGCCAAGTGAAGCCACTCATCAACGAAGACAAAGTAGAATTAGTGAATGGACACCAATTGAAAGAAGTGAAAGGGAGGACTATCAGGTGGTTGTGTAAACATCCTCCAGGACAGAAGTGTAGTAACTGTTTATGCCCTCATGGAGGAGCAGCGGAGGTGAAGAGGAAGTGTAATCACCCCCCTTCAATGCGATGCCCTAATTGTTTGCCACCAGACCCCGAAGAACAAAAGAAGAAGGCGCCACCCAGAATTTACTTTCCATCTACATGTCCGAACCATGGACCACATGGGTGTTGTACATTGTGCCTTGCAAAGATGGATTACGAGAAAATCCGAATTCAAAAATGTGACGCGACAGTGAGAGTGTGTCGTGTCAACACACAAGAATTGAATAGGTTCCAGAAGTATATTCTTGAGCGTAATTTCTATGTCAATCGGATTGGTATTCTATTTGGCGAGTTCGCTAAAAACAATAACGTGAGAGTCGAGGCCATTTATGAGCCACCACAAGTGCAAGAAGACAACGGGGATTTCGTTTTTAAGGACCAAGCTATCATTGCAAACGTCGATAAGATGATGGCTGAGTTGGGGTTGTCGAAGGTCGGTGTCATATACTCGCATAACGGAAAACGCAAAGAGATTTTAACAAGTCGTGAAGCAATCGCAGCAGCACAAAGACAAATAGACTGGAACCCTAATTGCTTGACACTTGTTGTGTCCCCAGATAAGAACGCAAGTAAGGTGGAATGCTATCAAGTGTCTGAACAATTGGTCGATTTGGTTAAAAAGGCGTTGGTACAGCCAACACAAGCAGACAATAACTCCATTTTACTCAAAGAGTCGGTCTATTTGTCACAGAAGGAGATCATGGAAGTCGAGCCTGTTGTCTTTGTGTGTAATGTCGGAATGCAGGAATCAAGAAGAACCAATTCTTCTTGAGGTCAGAATTCCCTATTGAAAATAGACAGATGGAAGAAGTCACATTGGATAACTTCAAGAAGTACTTCAGAGCGGTGAAAGACTTGCCATTGTACGCTCAACTCTCGGACTTCCATCTCTTGGTGTTCTGTATGGACTTCTCTATATTTGAATCGACTCAATCAATTAAAGACTGTCTCACACTAAAAATCGAAAAGAGGACTTGAAGAAAGTATAAGTCAGTGGATGGATATCCCAACAAACTAAGTCTGCA